TATCGAAATAAGGTATGCGTGTACAGTCAAGAAGACCTGGAAGACCATCATCCTCACCATCATTAGCGGGCGATAGTCGAATATCCAATGATATGATTTGACAGAATTGATCATTGGGTGCACCACACCGAAGATAAAAAGAAAAGAAGATGTGCTCGTAATACATGTACATCAATTATTGTGAGAACAATATGCTCAAAACGCAATGTAGGCTTGTGCATAGATTATTTCATACCGTTTCACACTCGGTTACATGCTTCAAATAATTGATTTTATGTAGTAACAAAGTTCAATTTGTTTTAATATTATTATTAGTAAATCTGTAAATTACCCATTGTAGTTTTCATTTTGTCTTTTTAAAGCGACTCGACTGGATTGGTCATAATATGCAATATAAATTGAATATTATATACATGACAAAACTAGGTAGTGCAAGCGCCTACGTTGCCATAATATGGCAACAGTCAATATCTGGTAAACGTTTAGAGTACGACATTTTTTTTGTTATACTTTTTTATTAGGTAGATCATCTAGACAAATAATATTGTAATACAAAGTTAAATTTCAAAAAGTGAAACACCGGCGTTAATGGGTTTACAATTAGATTATTATAAAAGCAAATTCGCATAGATTTATTTCCTATTAAGCCCGTCTTGAATGTTGAAAAATTCTCCTATGCTAATACATTTGCTAACGCCGCCTTAATTTCATACTTGACGCAAATAAAAGAAAAAACTGCTAACTTTTCCATCAGAATTTCTCCGTTTTAAAACGTAACATTTCCGTTCGGAATTGCACACGGAGTCAAGTAGATGAGCAAGTGTATCATTTCGTCGTTTCAATTTGTCACGTGATTCTGGCGGAACAATCCGTTTACATCCGCTAGAAAGCGTTCCATATATTCAGCCAGTCGGAAACTGAAGGAAAGATAGCGCAGCTGACGGCCACGAGGTGGAAGCACTTGCACCGATAAAATTGACGCGCCTAAATAAATGTTTTCATACGTTGCATTGCCCGTTTCCAGTTTGCTTTAACCAACATTAGCATTAATTAACTAACATTGTTGACCCTGATGGTCAAAGATAACTTTAATTGAGCTTCACGTCGAGTGCTAGTGGCGAGGATAGATGCAATTAAAGCGTAATGCGTAATAACTTTATACATTGTAAAGAATGTTTGGGAATCCTGCCAACTGTGGCAAATAGGTCATGTTATTGGTACATCTTTTTGAAAAGTTTAGAAGGCTTATTAGAGAAATGTATTATACTTAAATTTAAACCTCAGACTAATGAAATATAGTGTTTATTGTATATCATTATATAATATGTTATATCTTGTTTATTTATTTTAATTATTTTTATGTTCTATAATTTTTTTATTTTATAACTTACACATTCTCTTAAGGTAACTCTTTCTCAGGTGTACTCTTACTTCCTTTTCAGGGCTAAAGTTCTAGTAGAAACTGTTTTTAATTTTAATTAATTTTTTAGATATATTAGCTATTTGAGTATTAAGAGCGGAAGTGCTACTTTGCCGCTTAAGATAAAAGTTGCCTCGCGACGCGCAGCGGATTGCGGCATTTTATCGTAAGCGGCAAATAGCTTTCCGCTCGAATTACACACAAGATTTTTTTCTACGATCACACGTTATTAAAAGTATATAGTTTTATTTTGCCGAATTCAAATCTTACTACGTTCATTTGACATATTCGGCTTACTTGACTAACAAACGAAAAGTTTGTTGTGTTTATTGTGTTGCCTGCTCATACACTGTTTTAAGTTTTATTTAATTTTACAAACACAAAAATCTATTAAAAAAAAATAATTAACTAGTGAGGATTGAACTCACGACCATCAGGTTCAAAGACAAACGCGCTAGGCTCTATTCCAATAAGACATGTTAAATATGAGTGTTAAAAACAGGGTAATTTATTTTTAATATTTTATTTATCATTTAAATATTAAGGAAAATGAGTTTGAGTATTAAATGTTTAACTAAAAGATTCAGATTAGTCTACATTTTCTTTTAAAATACCGATTAGCTTTATAATAACCTTTCTAATGAAATTTTCTAATGAAAATAGGCGTGTGCAAAAAGTAACTTTCTGCCTATATGCGGCACTAATGTCAAACTATGACAATTCACTGAAAACTTTTCAGTTAGTTTTGAATGTGCAAAAGCCTATTTTGGATAGTGATTTGTAGAAAAATAATATGTTTTACTATGCTTTTGTGATTTATATGATCTTTTTTGAATGTTTTAAGGACCACGCACTTTTCTTATGCAAACGGGAGTTGCATCTGAATGTCTGAATTTTTGATATGTTTAATTACTTGATATTCTCCACAAAAATGTCCATGGACCCAATCCTATCCTGTCTAGATTTTGAGACAAAAGGTGTTGAAGTTTAATTCTTTAAAATGGACACAAAAAACACCCTTAAATATTTTTGGAAGTTATTCGCTCATTCTGTGTAGTCAATATACATACATAACTACTGTAATCAAAATATAGTTACAGATTTTTTTCGGTAAGAGTAGGTAGTAGAGAGTTATTGCAAATTTCTATAACGCCAGCCACTAATGGTGACATCGTAATTAGAGTCAAATAAATTCCATGCTAAAATCAGACTTATTGCAAACCTGGCATTAGAATCCTTGTCCTTATACTTATTTGTAACCTAATTTTATTAAATATAAATTATTATGGTTCATCTCTTTTGTTGTCTATAATAGTACATAATATTGAAGAGGCATTAGAAATTATAATTTACGAAGGTTTAAATGAGGATTATATTAAATATTTAATATTAAAAAACTTCGAATAGATATGAATGTCGGCGACTACACCCGAAAGCTATATGGTCGCCACTACCTACTGCCGTTAAACATCCACAATTAAGGACAGGTGCAATCTTTAATAAAGTCAGTTTTAGAACATAAACGATGTGCGCATGCTTAGATGTCAAAATAAGAGCGGCACTAATAGTGACTGACTTTAAGTGAACTTGCAATAACTCTCTATTTTCCCAAAAAAAAAAAAATAGTTAAAATGCCTAAAAAAAATACCAATATCAAAGTCTCTCAATATTTGATATTGTATAGTTCATGATGTACTCATTCGAAATTCTTATTGTCAAAATTGGATCCTATGGCTAGTTTTCCAAATATAACTTAATATATACCATATATGAATTTTAAACAATAAATATATTTACAGTGTGAAACACCTAAATGGAATAAATTGGGTAATAAATAAATGGGGACGTGTTTGGAAAAACGCTCGGACACTACTTCAAATTTTAATTTACAAAAATTCACCACCCCAGCATATTTTAATTTTAAAAATTTCGATGACGTCAAAAATTTCTATATCAATAAAAAATAAATCAGAAACATTTGATTATTTATTTCTTTGCTATTTTTTTAGAGATCAAGCGCAGTTAGCAACCCAGAACGTCTCACTGAACATGAGATGCAAGCACTAATCCAAACGATATTCGATGAAGAGTTGAAGATGATACAGATACGTCAGAGCAAGAAGTTATAGAAGAAGTAACTGAGGATGCGAATACGTCAGATAAAGAATTTTGGGCTTTAGAAACAGATTTTAGTGAAGAATATGAAGTAGCAAACAACTCAAATAATGGTCATGAGAGAAATATTACTGCATAACGACTAAACTAAAAAGATATAGCTGGCTCAGAGACATTAAATTTGCTTCTTTAAAAAGAAGATTTAGTGTAAAATCTTAGATTATTTTAATACATAATTTTTATTTGTACGATTTCGACCTGTTTGGAGTTTTAAAGGCATCATAAGCTACACAGGATTCTTTTTTCGCACTTTTCTCTCAACTCACTTGTTCCTCGTTGGTTGATAAATATATAATTTATTAGTTAGTCCTTTTTCTTTTTATTGTGCTTTTGTATTAGAGTGATTTATTTAAAAGCTTCACAAATAAAATAGAGTAAAGATTGTGAAAGTTTCACAAATTAATTACATTTAATCAGTCTTCGGCGATCGATACGGCCACCTACTGGCAGAAATAAAACCAAATCGTATTCGTTAATAGAAAGATTTACGATTGCCTGGCAGATTTCAACTAACACCCACTTTTTGTATCAGTTCGACAGTCAATAAATATCCTGCTGTTGTTTCTACCGGAATTGATTATAATACCGGAATTGATTATAAGAGTTTATAAGGGTAGTTGTTGGATCGATGTTTTTTTAATGATTTTTGACTGTACAATCAAATAATTAAAAGAAATTGAAATAAAAGTAGGTATGTATTTTTTTATAAAATGCCGAAAAGCTACAAGTCGACAAATGTAGCTAGAGACTTAAAATATCTGTGCTTTGAGCTGATAAATTCGTAAATATCCTAGTGGCGTAGAAAATCTGTTCTGTGTCAAATAAAGTTATAATATACCTTTCTTTTAAAATACTATGGAATCCAGTAGTAAATTTAAAGAAAAAGTTCTGAGTAGTTAAAGCAAGCAACTGGTCAGTAAACTTCTAAAATTTATAAAAGAAGAAGCAAAAAGGAAGGATGAAAATTAAACTTTATATGAAATCTTTACTTACTATAAATTACATAAGTATTTTATTTAGATTTAATATTTTTCATTTCTAATTTAAAACATTTTACCGCAGAAAATCTAAAGCTGGGGCTGGAAATCTTTTAAACTTTAATAAATCATTAATTGGTAAAACCGGTAAAGACTTAATAATATTCTCCGCCACATTTGAAAAGAAATCGTTAAAGTCATTTGAGGTTAGATTTTCAATACAGTTATAATATTGTATAAATTAATTAGCACGTCATAAATAAATTGTAAATGGTGTGTTTTAAATAAATAAACTATAAATAAATTAAAATAAACGTCACAATACGATCTGTCTTTTAAAAATAAAAAATATCTTACAATAATTTAACATTGATTATCACCGAAATTCCCACAAGAAAATTATTAAAATTACAGTAACGGTACTTTACCTAAAGCTGACTTCACACCAGTCCACGCCTCTCTCACATATGTAAAAAACCTCCTATGTAACGGCCTCCTGTGCCTTCTCCTTATCGAATTTTCCTCTACAGCCTCTTCGTCCGAAGGAGCAGCCTGCTCGTCGAGAGACTGGAGCCTCTGTTCGCCGATGAGCGCTATATGGGGTTGCCTTTGATCTCTAGTCTCGGTATGCACCATGGGATACAT